CTACATCTGTCCTTAAGCCTTATGGTTGCCTCATCTAGTAGGTTCAACCCACCTACGTTATCTGGCAGATTCAGGAGTTGCTTTATACTGCTTGTAGGTTGTCTTGTTGAGCAGAGGATTACATGATTCCAGGCTGTAGACAGCAGCGCCATCAGTAGGCATGGTGCAAGCAGCCCTGGAGCTGCTGGGAGAATGTAAGCTGTGGGCATCTGGTACTGCAAAACTCTCCCCTCTGTGTGTAGGCTGAGACATGTTGCAAGTGCACAACGGTAAGCCAACTTTTGGGCTCCAGATAAGACGAGGCCCCAGGTACTCCTAAAATTCAGACAGCTGATAGCAGGCGAGGGTTGGCTGCATGGCGTGTGGAGTGTGCACGTGACACTATACCCAAGTGATGACATTTGTGCTCAGTCCCAAATCATTAACACCCTTCCTCTGCAAAACCAGTTGTCACAGGTAATGATGGCGCCCAGCAACCCAAGTAAATGAAGTAGCTCCTGTTGCTCAACCCGACCAGCCTACTAACTGAGTCTTTAGAGATAGGCCAAGCACAAAGGCACTGCCAGCAGCTGTAGACCTATTGCTTTGCAGCTAACCTTTACCAGAACCAACTGTAAAGTGCCCCATGCGGAACCCAGTGCCCAAAGGTCACTTACAGGCTGTCCACACCATTGTCCAATGAGGTCCAGGTACGGTACTTCAAAAGCCAAGCTGAGGATGACAGCACTGGAAAGCTGCAGCTGGGGAGACAGCTTCAGTAGAGATACAGGAGAGTCTTGATTTGATTAAAAAACAAAAAAACACTGGAAAATAATGTAGACTATAACACAGCAAAGCTGGGCAAAAAAAACATCCTTGGACATGAGAAAAGACAACCTAGGAGAAGTCCTGGGCTGGTCTACAGTTTCTTGCCAGTGTTCAGTCCTCCTGTAGGCAGTAATCTGAAAGATATGACTTTGTGCCTCAATGAACTAGAAGGAAAAACACATTTTTAACTCCTAAAAACATTTAGGCTGACTTTTGAATTATAGGTATTCAGGTGTATACTATAGGTCAAAAGGATGACCATGTGTTGTTCAAATGTGCCAAGCCCCAGCCATTTTTCTGGGTGACTCTGAAGAAACCAGGGTGGCAGAAGTGACGCTAATACTTGTCATTTTAAGGCTCCCACGGAACGCCAACTCCGGTACAAAGAGAAAGTCACAGAAATGAGAAAGAAGAGGAACTCAGGCTTAACCAAAGAACAGAAAGAGAAGTATATGGTAGGATTACATATGCTGAACTCTGAAAACTGTGTTGCCTACGCTACTTACATTTTATCGCTTATGCTCGACCTTTACACTGCAAAGCATCTGCAATACTTGCTTGGACTGTATTGTTGCATTTTAACAGCTATGAGCTATTTGTTCCCTATACTGAGGTTTGGAAAGTTGTGAAGATACAAATTACTGCAAATGTGAACAAGATTTGGCTGCAGGCCATATCCATTGCTGGTTTCAACATGGCTTCTCTGTTGACAGGAGCATAGGCAGAACTATGGTAATACAAGAGAGCCACTCTTGGAAAACCTGACCAGTGAGTACGATCTGGAACTTTTCCGAAGGGCCCAGGCCAGAGCCTCGGAAGACTTGGTAAGGATTTCAGAACCACCTTCCTGTTGCACTGAATGAATGTATATTTGCCTGGAGTAGTGGGGCTTGGTTGGTAACCCGAGTTTATTAGAGTACCTACACTACATCCTTGCTCAGCAAAGTGGCTTACAATTAAGTGCCTTGATGACGTTATGCAGACATTCATACACCTTCCAGGTCCAGTTTAGGTGGAAAATTAGTAAAATCTCAATTGTGGGTGTTTTTTTGGTTTTTCTTGCAGTTTTTGCTGCAATACTTTTGCACTGTCCCTGACAACTTTTTGCTGTGTGATCCAGTGCTAGTCCACTGACACCCAGCTATGTCCAACCTACTGTGTTTGAGCCTACGGCTCGACAGACAATGCCCTCTGGGAATGTTGTCATTGCAGAATGCTGCACAAAACACAACTGATGGCGCTACATGAGCATGTTGTAGCATTCAGGACCTGCTGCCCACCACCAGAATTGGAAGGGGACAAGTCACATGACCAAAGCAGAGACTCAAGGGAAACCGGTACATAAAAGGTAATTAAAGTTTGTGGAGCAAAGGGTGTTCAAAAGCATACTGGTAAGCGAATGCCAACTTTTTGCTCATTTGAAGTGTAGGGGAGCTCCACAAAGCATGGAAGACCATACAATATCCATGAAGATGGTGTTCTGGAGGGCATTAGATCTGTACTGCAAGGCCAGTAGACCACTTGATCGAAACCATGTAGAACTCTTTGGTAAGTACTCTGCATTGTCTTTTCAGGAGAAGCTGCGACTACAAGGCCAGATCACTGAAGGAAGCAACATGATTAAGACTATAGTCTTTGGTCGGTATGAGCTGGACACCTGGTACCACTCTCCGTATCCAGAGGAGTATGCACGTCTGGGGAGGCTCTACATGTGTGTGAATTCTGTCTAAAGTACATGAAGAGTCAGACTATCCTCCGAAGACACATGGTGAGACCTCGTTCTTTATATGCTTTCACTACTCGGGGTTGTAGTATGTTGGAAGGTAGCTTATGGTTGTGGCAACTTTGAATTCTTTTCTTTGCAATCTGGTGATTGTTGTGTAAGTATCTGATGGCAAGCCATTTTCTGTACAAGATCGATGGGCAAATGCAGGGTCAGTTTGCATGTGGGTTAGATGCAGACATCATGGGGTTTATTTACTAAAGCTGGAGAGTACAAAATCAGGCTGACTTCTGCATAGAAACAATCGGCTTCTAACCTCAGCTTGTTCAATGAAACCTGGAAGCTGATTGGTTTCTATGCAGAAGGGAGTCTGATTTTGGACTCTCCAGCTTTAGTAAATAAACCCCCATGTGTTAGGATAGCTTTAACTGTAACCACTTGCCGACCACAGCTGATCGAATGATGACTTCACTTTGGCTGCCCAGTTCTGGCAGGACAGCATATGACGTCCTCCCAGAACGCACTCTCCCGTGCGCACCCAGTGATCCCAGTGATCGCTGTGTCCCCTACGGACATCAGTGTAGGAGAAAAATGACCTGTTTGCAAAATTTTATAATAAAAACAAATTTTTTTTTCTTTTCTAAATTTTTGCTCTTTTTTGTTTTACTTAAAATAAAACACCCAGCGGCGAGTAAAAATTTCATATGGGTGCAGTGTTGCAGGACCGCGCAATTGTCATTCAAAGTGCGACAGCACTGAAAGCTGAGAATTGGCCTGGGCAGGAACGGAGTAGAAGTGCCTGGTAGACAAGTGGTTAAAGGTCGTGTGTTTTTTTTTTTTTTTTTTTTTTTTTTTTTTTCTTTTGGGCCTGAAAAGACTTGAATGTTTTTCCACAATGCACCGGAGCTTGCCTGAAGTTGCCACCCATCTGTTTTCTATGCATTGCAGTTTTTTTCCACAGTTCTTGTAAGTGAATAAAACGGCACTTTGCGATGTTTCAGTGAAATTAACAAGGTAAACAGTGCCCTGCCTTGTAAAATCGCAAGGCATTGTGACACCTTCCCCCCTCATGTTAATTGGCCCTTCACATTTTCTCTCCAGCTGCATGCAACCTATTTGTAGCACAATGTTGTCCAACTTTGTCTAGTTTTAGGCATTCCTGTCATGGAGACAATGTCAGTCTTTGAATCGTGCTCTGGGTGCTTATAGGAATGGAGTTGTATAATTGTGGTCTGTTTCAGGATTGTAGATTACTTAATGCTGTACTCAAATCATGCCACCGCCGCCCGTGTTTCTGCCACCCCCCCATACCTGTAGTGCTGTAATCTCTTCAAAACATTTACCAGCACAGTGAATCTAGCCTGCTCCCTCTGTGATCTGCTGTTTGGGTGCCATATCATGGGTTCCAGTCCACCATCTTGGTCCTCTTCTGGGTGCAGGCATCCAGCTCTGACGCACTGGACCTGCCCTCCAGACAGTCTGTGCCTGCTCTGATGTTGCATCAGGCCTTGCAGCCTCATGGGAGATTTGTCCCAGGGAGGCTGAAGGACCAAGTACACAGTCATTCTGACCCAGGCAAGAATGGCAACTGTGCACAGGGCCAAAAATTAAAAAACAAAAAAAAGAAACCTTTTTTAGCAATTCTGCTTTGGAGGGAGTGTTAAAATGAAACAAATTCCCATTTGGGAGTGAAATGCAGTAGACATTACTGGTGTAACTGTCTGAATATATGTGTGAATTGATTTATTCAAGATCATAGTTTTTCACTAATTCATATTGGCCAACATGTAGGCGGTAGAACCAGGAAACCCACTGGTTCTGTCTTCTCATTTTAAGAGAAAAAAAAAAAACCATTCTAGTTGCCTCCTCCGTTTGTAGCAGAGACTGGCGTAAAAGGGACACCAGCATGCATGTAACTGAAGTGTCTTCGAGTGCAGCTAGTATGAGGGGCCCTAAAGGTTGATTTATTTTTTGGCTCCGTATTCATTGGTTCTTGCTATCTATTCCTGGAGCCCACTGTAGAGCCTGTGTATACAGATTTTTGTCCGTATAAAAGTCAAGCAGCTTAGGAGGTCAAATACAGTTGTTGAACTCTGATCTCAGAAATGTCTTAACAGCCTTCCGCCCACTATATAAGGAAATGGCGGGCGGTGGTCCTCTCATTCTGGGAGGACTTCATATGACGTCCTACTACTCTATCCGCGTCCCCGGTGGCGCGCTGCATGGCGATCAGTGGTGCGCTGTGTCCCTGGGGCATAGCGGATCACCGATCAGCAGAAAGAGCTGATGACTTCGGCTGTCATGTGATCAGCTGTGTCCAATCACAGCTGATCGCATGTAAATAAGAAAATGCCGGTTATCGGCAGTCCTCTCCTCACGAGCTGTCACACTGACAGCTGGTGAGGAGGGGAGAGTCAGTAATCTGCATTCCTCAGAGGGGACATCTACTCTAATCATCAAGGCACTGATCAGTGCTCTGATGATCAGTGTAGCCCCATCGGTGCCGCTTGTTGGTGTCCATCATTGCCTACCAGTGCACATCAATGCCACATATCAGTGCCCATCTGAGCTGCCTATCTGTGCCATATGAGTACTGCCTTTCAGTGTCCATCAGTGATGTCGGTCAATGCTCACCAGTGATGCCTGTCACCTGTGCCTCCTCATCAGTGCCCATCACTGCAGCCTCATTAGCGCACATCAGTGAAGGATAAAAATTACTCATTTTACAAAATTCTATAACAAACTAAAAACTTTTTTTTTTTTTTTTTTTTCAGTTTTTGGTTTAGCAAAAAAATAAAAACCCCAGTGGTGATTTAAATACCACCAAAAGAAAGCTCTATCTGTCTCAAAAAGATAAAAATTTCATACGGGTACAGTGATGCATGACCGCGCAATTGTCATTCAAAGTGCAATAGCGCTGAAAGATGACAGTTGGCCTGGGCAGGAAGTGGGTGAAAGTGCCCGGTAGGCAAGGGGTTAAATGCAAACTGATTACACTTGAATACAAGCTGCGTGTGCGAGACACAAGCCCAAAATCTGTCTGCACAAGGCCCTTCTGATGACCATCATGTAGCTTTGTAGTTCGTCTCTTCTCTCTCAAGCTCTTCACACTCGTCTTGCGCTGTCTTCCTCCGTATGCCGGCCTCTATACTGCTCAGCTCTCACCTTTCTGCTAATTAAAACCCCGATGAGTTTTTTTTTTTTTTTTTTTTTTTTTTTTTCCATCCTGGGGATTTGTACACAAATATGAACAGAATAGCAATAAAACTACAAGATGGACGAACAAGCAGCAAGATTCTTTATAGCTGTTAACTCGGTATTGGAACTTCCTCTTCCTGAAAAGTCCGGATGCCCTTTGTGCCTGAATGGCTCTGATATCACCATTGTTGGAGAGAGGTAGTTGACACTGCCCATAAAGCACTCATTGAAATCTTACTGTTGAAAAAGCTTTCACACAGGCAGAGTTCCTTGCCTCATTACTAAAATATTAACAGACTAGACAAAGAAGGGTGTCTCCAGACATTTTAGTTTTTATTTCTGCAGTAATAAAGGTATCCTGTACTGAAAATAACATTGCTAACTTTCTGAAAATGCTAAACACCCTGCTTACCTGTCTCTGGCCTTGACCGTTTGAGGGGCAGACCTCAAACAAGAATGCGGCTAATCGAGACAAGAGCGTGGACTTGGTATGTACTAGGGTTTGAACCAAACCACCAATCCAACTCACGGCTGCCTAATCAACTGCAGCAAGGGTATTCCCCACACCGATTCGATCAACAATGTCACAAGCATCCGACCTTTTTTGTAAACGTAGCTGCGGAGCAGGGAATTGCCCTGGCCACAGTGTGGGTGGGAGTGGTGGCTTCCTTCCAGGTTTGGTTCCTTCCCAAGTTCAGACCAAACAAACGCTCATCCTTGGTCACCACCCCATGCCTAACCAGGTCAACATAAAGATTGTTTTGTTTTTTTTCAATGAAACCCTTTTGCTGTGCCTTTTTTGTAATATTCTGTGACTTCTTCATGAGTTTTGGAGGCTGAGATCCAGCTGCCCTGACAATAGCCAAGGTCCTGACAGTGGCCAGGCATGCTTCTCTGTGATCTGCAAAGATTGTCAAAACAATGCCAATCTGGTTTTATTTTTCAGTTTGGCTCCTGCATGGCTAGAAATGGACTTTAAATGTTCAATCTCCTTCTTTGGGGCAATGTCAGCCTGACTTGTGTACTTCTTTTTTTTTTTTTTTTTTTTAATCCAGTATGCTTCTCTGGTCAGGGGGGGTGATCGGGACACTGAACACTGGCAGTATACATCATTTTTTCAGTACAGTAAGGTTTGCTTTAGAGCCAGCGGCTATGAAGGACAATGTTCAGTCACTGTTGGACTATTGTGAAGGGTCCGCTTATTTGGGTTTCCTTGGGGTGGGAGTATCTGCTTAACCGCTTACCCGCCGCCGTATAGCAGATGTACTGCTACACAGCGGCGCGGGGTGTGCAAAATCACGTGTGTATATGTATGTATACGTGTGTGTGTGTGTGTGTGTCTATGATATATTCATATATATATATGTATAAATATATATATATATATATACAGTTGTGTCCAAAATTATTACTGAAATTGAGTGTTTTGGCCAGTTTGACAGATCATTCAGTCATCTTGATTTACATTTATCAGACAAATATATATATATAATGAATCCCTGTACATGCAGAAGCAAAACAAAAGTCTTTGACCCTCCACCATGCTTCACCGTGCATTATCATATATATATATATATATATATAGTTATATGAAATAACCACAAATGTTATTTGTGCTTTATCAGTTTTATTCAACCCCCAAGTGACATTCAATCTAGTACTTAGTACAGCATCCTTTTACAGTTATAACAGCTTTTAAACGTGAAGCATAGCTTGACCAAGTGTCTTGCAGCGATCTACCGGGTATCTTCGCCCATTCTTCATGGGCAAAGGCCTCCAGTTCAGTCACATTCTTAGGCTTGCGCACTGCAACTGCTTTCTTTAAGTCCCACCAGAGGTTCTCAATCGGATTTAAGTCTGGTGACTGCGATGGCCACTCCTTTGCCTTTCCTCTGCAACCACTAGTGGACTTGGAGGTATCTTGGGATCTGTCCTGTTGAAAGGTCCAACGTCTCCCAGCCTCAGGGTGTGTGACGGACTGCATCACGTTTCCATCCAATATCTCCTGGTACTGGAATTCATGGTACCTTGCACACGCTGAAGCTTCCCTGTACCTGCAGAAGCAAAACAGCCCCAAAGCATGATTGACCCTCCACCATGCTTCACAGTAGGCAAGGTGTTCTTTTCATCATAGGCCTTGTTCTTCCTCCTCCAAACATAGCGTTGATCCATGGGCCCAAACAGTTCTAATTTTGTTTCATCAGTCCACAGAACACTATCCCACAACTTTTGTGGTTTGTCCACATGGCTTTTGGCATACTGCAGTCGACTCTTCTTATTCATTGGAGACAGCAAGGGGGTACGCCTGGGAGTTCTGGCACGGAGGCCTTCATTACGCAGTGTGCGTCTTATTGTCTGGGCTGAAACTTCTGTACCCACATCTGACAAATCTTTTCTCAGTTCCTCAGCAGTCACACGGGGACTTCTCTCCACTCTACGCTTCAGGTAGCGCACAGCAGTCGAAGTCAGCCATCTTCTTTCTGCCACGACCAGGTAGCGTTTCAACAGTGCCCTTTTCCTTGAATTTGCGAAATGATGCTTCCTAAGGTGTCTCTTGGTATGTTTAACATCTTTGCAATCTTCTTATAGCCATTGCCCTTCCTGTGAAGAGAAATCACCTCTTCTCTTGTCTTCCTGGACCATTCTCTTGCCTTCCCCATGTTTGTAACCACACCAGTAAATGTCTAGAAGGAGGAGTATCACAGTCATTTTAAAGCTGCCTAATTGGTGCTTATTATGCTTGATTGCTGCTCGGTGACATCCACAGGTGTTTTCAATACCTGATGGAAAGCACCTGTATGAACCTCTGTTCTTCAGAGTGGTAGTCTTTAAGGGGTTGAATAATTGTGGCAATGAAGAAACCACATAAGAACCATTTACTACTGTATTACATAAACAATTGATGTCATTTTAGTTGCATTTGGGTAGTTACAACGTCCTTGTAGGATTTGATTCTGAATACAATTCCAAATGTACACTATAGTCCCTAAACCCCTTTACAGCATTGGGGGTTTCACCGGGTCTCGCCGGTTAATTACCCACCGGCACCCAGTGATTACCGCTATCCCCGACGGGGGGAAGACTGCTTTGTTTACAAACAGTCTCACCGGCCTGTCTCGGGCACTGGTCAGGATGGCTGTGCATAGTACAGCCATCCACAATCAGTGTGGTTACACCCAGTGATTACCGCTCACATCGTCCCGAGCGCGGGGAGTGGAAGTATGGGTTTTTGTACTGCAGGTTTATGTATTTTCCTTACAATTGTTGTCAGTGTCTTCCCTTCCCCATGTCTGGTCAGCTCGGGCAGCTCCCTTTCTAATGTTTCCCTTTTTCTCCTCAGTGAATTTCCGGCTAGCAAAATTGTGCTTTGTGGAAGCATGCCCCTTTGATCGACTCACATTCGTCCTGGGGAGTCTGGAGTTTATTGTTGTCTAGATCTAATCCCTCCCCATCGGAAAGGTATTCTGCCAGATAAAATCCTTTCTAATGTTTCCCTTTTTCTCTCAGGCAAAATGTGTTTCCTGGGGACGAGATCTAGAGGGATCCATCTCCGTTTTTGAAGTAGATGGAAAGAAGAACAAGGTTAGCATTACAGCTGATAGGCTTTCTGTCTTGTAGAACTCCCACTAAGCATTCCCTGTCATTAACTGAGTGTTGTACAGAAAAGCTCATTAGCGCTGAATGATTAAATGCATTGCTGTGACATTTCTGCTTTCAGATTTATTGCCAAAACCTGTGCCTTCTTGCAAAGCTTTTCCTGGACCACAAAACACTGTACTATGATGTGGAACCATTCCTTTTCTATGTCATGACTGAAAGCAGACAATACCGGCTGCCATCTCATAGGCTACTTCTCAAAGGTATGACCCTTCTTCCATGATTATGTAGGCGAGCTGCTCAGTGTTGTGGAATCCAGCAAAGCTACTGGCATTTAGTTGTGGAAATGAGTGCACAGAATAGTGAGGACTCTATATACCCCTCTGTGACAGTACTGATTTGCTTGAACAGACAGTTGCTAATCACCAGTGCAGTCGTGTTTGAGTAGGGAAGTGAGTGAATTCTTTCATTTAATCGGAATGTGTTGCGACAGCTACAACACTAGGCACTAGAAGAAAGAGGAGCTAGCACTCACAATCCACAAAGGACCTGCTAAATATCGGATTGCAAATCCGTTCACGTATCCTATGAGCAGTAGTTTGGTTCTCCCAATTTTCTCTAGTTCCTCTTCTTGGGCAACTCAACAGATCACTGGTGGATGAGCACTAAGCACATTGTACCTTGGACTATACCCCCTCCCTTCTTTGCAAAGGCAGTTTTAGCTGACTTGATCTGACTGTAATGGCACTCCTGAATTTTTGTTAACATGCATCTACTATCACAAATGCACAAGTTTGATATAGGGGCCTGCCTTTCCAGCATCTTTAACCACTTCCAGTCCGGACACTTTTACCCCCTTCCTGTCCAGGGCAATTTTCAGCTTTCAGCGCTATCACACTTTGACAATTGCGCGGTCATGCAATACTGTACCCATATGAATTTTTTACCATTTTTTTGAGACAGATAAAGCTCTATTTTGGTGGTATTTATTCACCGCTGGGATTTTTATTTTTTTTACTATGTAAATGAAAAAGTCCAATTTTTGAAAAAGTGTTTTGTTTTTTTTTTTTATATAAAATTTTGCAAATAATATTTCATCATAAATCTTGGCCAAAATTTATTCCGTTATTTTTTTTATTAAAAAAAAAAAAATCCAAATTAGTTTAGAACCAAAAATTGTAATTTTTAAACATTTTTTTTTTTTACATTTTTATTTTATTTTTTTTTTATATTTTTTATTTTCCATACTGTCACCCTAGCAGTACAGTGTCACCATGGTGACACTGTACTACTTGTGGGGGGTGATGAAGATTTTTTTTTTTTTTTTTTTTTTTTTTTTTTTACACTGATTGCTTTTAAACCCATATAGGATGCAAAAGCAATCATTTTCTCTTTCTCTCTGTCTGCATTCTTGCAGTCATTGAGAAGTACTGAGTGAGCTGTGATTGGTCACAGCTTGTCACATGGTGCAAGGCTGTTGTGAATAGCCTTGTACCATGTGACCTCTGTGATCATTCACAGATTTCACACGTAGTAAGCAATGATGTCACAAGTGACATCTTGCTTACTACTTTGCATGTGATCACTGATTCGCCAATCGGTGATCACATGATCGGGACCTCGTACAGAGGTCCCGTCCGACGATCGGTGTTTCACTGTGTCCGGAGGACACAGCGGGCACCGGATCGCGGTGGTGCGCGCTCCCAGGGAGCGTGCACAGAGAAAAGGCGGGTGCCGTGCACAGCTGCACCAAATTCTAACGTCAGCTTGTTCAATTAAACTTTGACAATAAAATCTGGAAGCTGATTGGTTTCTTTGCAGAACTGCTCCAGATTTTTCTCTCTCCAATTTTAGTAATTCACTCCCACTATGTTTCTGACTTGGCTCGGTGTTGCCGAAAATGAACATTCTTAAATCTGCAATGAAATGTGTAACGGAACCGATCCCAGACTGCACTTGGGTACTTCCGTTTAGAATACCACTTCCCTTCCGAACACCGACCACAGCCGACCAAACAAAACTAGACGACACCAGTCTGTCTGACCATGAAACTCTTTATTTGAAATTCGAACTGGCTTTTTATACACTCGGGACAAATCCCCCACCCTCCCTGCATAATGACACAGGGCGGGGCAATCTACACTTGGCAACAAGAGACACACAGCTGTTCAAACTTCACACCAGCAGACCGTGTCATCAGTAGGGAGGACTGATGGAGACACCTGCCACCCCCCCCCCCCCCCCCCACTAAGCTAATACACATACATCCCATAATAGTTTGCTCCCAAGCAAGACATTCTAAAATGTGAAAGACCATTCTAATAGTTTTATATAACACAGCAACATCCACACATGTAGGGCACCCAATGTTGCAGGTGATTTATTTTTCCAAAGCAAATGCACTTTTGCACGCTGGTACTGACTAGTACACCAATGTTTCTCTTCTCCCTCAGTTTTTCTCCATCGCTGAGCTTTTGTGACCCCAGCACTGATGGAGAGGGGCAGGGGAGGGTCAAACTAGGATGCTGTGCAGGCAACTGACATCCTCCTCATCAATTGATGTCATTGGTTGCCAGGATGCCAGCGGCTAGAAGGTGGTAATGGTGCATAATGAAAACCGGTGGCTTTGTGTAACTAAAAGGCAGGCTTGTTCCACCCGCTGGCTTGTATACATGTTTTGGGCAATATTTAGACCTTTTGCCAATTCACCCCTGAAGAAACTTCAGGGTGCCTGGGCACCCTGGTTGAGAGAGGCTGCTCTAGCCATGTGTGCATATTTTAAATCTTGCTTTGCGGGGGCAGGGGAGGATTTTTGTTTTCCCCGGAGTTGAGCTTTAACATCGTATTGTCAAGGTTCAGAGCACAGATACTGTAAATGTTGTCTTTTTTTTGTTTTGTTCTTTTGTGGGGGTTTTTTTTTTGTGTTTTGTACTGGACAGACAGCATATAGTCTCCAATCTGATTCCCCCTTTTTGGCTCCTACTGCCCGATTTTTGCTATTGCCAGCAAAAACCATTCCTTCATACATCCCGGTATGTTGAATGAAGTGAGAGGCTGCTCTACAGGATAAACTTGCTGCACTCTTTATGCTTTTATGGTTTGCTACAAAATTCCAGTGAACTTGGAGCTGATTGACAGTCCAGTATTTGTGAAATGAGTTACACTGATGTACAATGCATATCTTTTTGAATGCTTTCCTTTCTGATAATTGGTCATCTTACTTGCTGGTAGAATGACTTGTAACCAGATGTTCTTTTACTTGCAGGAGAAAAATTCATTTCTGAACTACAATGTGTCCTGTATCTTGACGATGCCACAGTACATGAGACAGGGTTATGGGAAGATGCTAATAGATTTCAGTAAGTCCTTTTGCTGCAATCTGTAGTCACTACCACAAAACTAGGTAGCATTGGTAAGCTTTGTATTTGCATCCTTTAGTACAAAGTAAGTAGTACAAATGTTGTGATTGATTTAATTAACTCTTACAATATAACAACGTTCATTTCAGTGGACAAGAGGTATTTATTACTGATGGTGTTCTAAAATCTAAACAAAACCATAGCAAGTTTAAAGCTTTATTGTCCTATGGGCTACAGCATGCCATCCCAATGTCCTATATGGCACAGGATATATTTTCATATTTTAAACAATCTGAGAACTACAGCCAGCTTCATTAACACAGTGACCAGTGCAGCACTACAATATTCAGTGAAAACCCAACATAAATTGATTTATATATAAAAAAAAAAAAGTCCAATTTATCTTCATTAACCACTTGCCTACAGGGCACTTATACCCCCTTCCTGCCCAGGCCATTTTCCAGCTTTCAGCGCTGTCACACTTTTGAATGACAATTGTGCGGTCATGCAACACTGTACCCATATTTTTTAGACAGAGCTTTTCTTTTGGTGGTATTTAATCACCTCTGGGGATTTTTATTTTTTCTTAAACCAAAAACACAGAAAATTTTTGGGGAAAAAAAAAATGTTTTTTCTTAGTTTTTGTTATACAATTTTGTAAATAAGTGATTTTTCTCCTTCACTGATGTGCGCTAACGAGGCTGCAGTGATGGGCACTGATAGGCTGCACTGATAGATGGCACTGATGAGGAGGCACTGGTAGGTTGCACTGATGGGCATTGACAGGCATCACTGATGGGCACTGTTAGGCGGCACTGACACATGGCACTGTCAGGCATTGATGGGTGACATTGAAAGGCAGCTCAGATGGGCACTGATATGTGGCATTGATGTGGCACTGGCACGTGGCACTGATGAGCACTGACAGGTGGCACTTCTGGGGCCACACTGATAATCAGGGCACACTGATCATCAGTGCCCTGATGATCCGTGTACATGTCCCCTCCGCGGAAAGCCGATTACCGGCTCTCCTCTCGAGCTGTCAGCGTGACAGCTCGAGAGGAGAGAAATGCCGATAACCGGCATTTCCGTGTTTTACATGTGATCAGCTGTGATTGGACACAGCTGATAACATGACCGAGCCGACATCTTTGGCTCTTTCTGTGATCCGCTGTGTCCGCAGTGAGAATGGGAGGACATCATATGACATCCTATCAGAACGAGAGAACCACCTTGCGCCCGTCATTGTACTATAGGGCGGGCGGAAGGTGGTTAAAGTACTTCCATCCTGCTGCAAGAACCAAGTGTTTCAAGACTTGAGAGTGCAGAATTCCACCACCAGATGTCTGCTCACCTCCAGCAGTGTGACCTCACACAATATTATGTTTGGTCGGACTCTGAAGATCACCTTGATGGATTCCAGCTGTGGTTCACACCTTAGGTGGTCCATGTCTTCTACCTTCGCTCCATTGCGTTGCAGCGTCCACCAAATGCTGTCAAAATAGAACACTGCTGCCAATGTTGGATGGCTTTGCTGCTGTCACAGACGCTGTAGTTCCACAGATTTCTGAATCAAGCAAATGATTAGATCTCGATTGCAGAGATCAATATGTGCTTGTGTAGGTGTGCCCTTGCACAAGACCCTCTGTGATCCACCATGCATTTCCTTGTACCATGAAGAGACACCGGTTGTCTCACCAGCACCCAACAAAGAACCATTTATATACCAATTGCTTTATTATAAAAGAAAAAAAAAGTGTGTGTGTGTGTGTGTGTGTGTGTGTATATATATGTGTGTGTGTGTGTGTGTGTGTGTGTGTGTGTGTGTGTGTGTGTGTGTGTGTGTGTGTATATATATATATATATTAATCTATATAATATATATATATATAATATATATATATATATATATATTTGCAAGAAAAAGTATGTGAACCCCTTGGGATTACGTGGAGGAGTTTTGCATGAATTGGGCATAAAATGTTTCTCTGAACGTCCTCTAAGTCACAACAATAGAAGAACACAGTCTGCTGAACATAATACTACACAAACATTAGATGTTGCCCATGGTTTTAATTGCACATAACATGTAAACATTCACAGTGCAGGGAGGAAAAAGTATGTGAGCCAGGCCCTAGCTTAATGACTTCTCCCAGAGCTAATTGGAGCCAGGAATGAGCCAACCTTGACTCCAATCAGTGTGATTTTATTGGATGTGTTGCTGACAGCTGTCCTGCCCTTAAAAAAAATACACACCTGTTTTGGGTTTTACTGGTTTCAAGAAGCACTGTCTGATGAGAACCATGCCTCGCAGAAAAGAGCTCTCAGAAGACGCTAACGATCAAGAATTGTTGACTTGCATGAAGCTGAAAGGGTTACAAAAGTATCTCCAAAAGCCTTGATGTTCATGTGTCCACGGTAAGTACAGGACTGTCTACAAATGGAGAAAGTTTAGCACTGTTTGCTACTCCTCCCTAAGGCATGGTCGTCCTGTAAAAATGACTGCAAGAGCACAAGCGCAGAATGCTGCATGAGGTAAAGAAGAATCCCAGTGTCAGCTAAAGACCTACAGAAATCTCTGGCACATGCTAACATTTTTGTTGACACACATCTACAATAAGGAAAAACATTAAACAAGAATGGAGTACATGGGAGGACACCACGGAGGAAGCCATTGCTGTCCAAAAAGAATATTGCAGCACGTTTTGAAGTTTGCAAAAGAGCACCTTGGATGTTCCACCAGCACTACTGGCAAAATATACTGTGGGACAGATTGAAACCAAGATTGAGTGTTTGGGAAGAAACACACAACACTATGTGTGGAGAAAAAAAGTCCCAGCACACACCAACAAAAAAAACCTCATCCCCACTGTAAAACATGGCGGAGGGAGCATCATGGTTTGGGGCTGCTTTGCTGCCTCAGGTGCCTGGACGGATGTGTTGTCATGTGATGATGGAAAATGAATTCCAGAGTTTATCGAGACATTTTGCAGGAAAAAACGTATACGACCATTGTCTGCCAATGAAGCTCCGCAGAGGATATGGTGATGCAACAGGACAATGACCCAAAGCATACAATAATTCAACAACAATGGCTTGTCCAACATCACAGAATATGCCTTCTGGAGTGGCCCAGTCCAGAGTCCTGACCTCAACCCCATGAAAATGCTGTGGCATGACCTTAAGAGAGCGACCTTTCACACCAGACATCCCAAGAATATGCAACACTGAAACAGTCCTTTTTGTGAAGAGGAGTGGTCCAAAATTACTCCATATCGTTGTGCAGGTCTGATCTGCAACTACAGGAAAACGTTTAGGTTGAGGTTATTGCTGCCAAAGGAGGGTCCAACCAGTTTTTAAGTCCAAAGGTTCACATACATTTTCCTCCCTGCACAGTGAATGTTTACATGTTTAGTGCATTTAAACCGTGGCAACATCTAATGTTTGTGTAGTATTATGTTCAGCAGACTGTGTTCTTCTATTGTTTTGTGACTTAGCACATTTTATTATGCCCAATTCATCGGCAAAACTCCACGTAATCCCAAGGGGTTCACATACTTTTTTCTTGCATTTGTTTATTTGTTTTGTTAAATTGTTATTAAGTGTGTTTTTGTATATATATATAAATTATATATATATATATATATATTATATATATTTTATTTCAGGTACTTGTAGCGCCGTCAATTTTACACATATATATTGTACATTCACATCCATCCCTAGCCCTCAAGGGGTGTACAATCCAAGGTCCCCTAACTTCCATTCATACATACACATATTGGGGTCAATTTAGACAGGAGCCAATTAACCCTACCAGCATGTCCTTTTTTTGAGGTGTGTGGGAGGAAACCAGAGGAAACCCACGCAGGCACAGGGAGAACATGCAAAACTCCAGGCAGGTGGTGCCATGGCTGGGATTCAAACAAACTACCCTAGTACTGCCAGGCAGAAAATGCTAACCATTTAGCCACTGTGCTGAGAGAGATAGAGAGAGATATTATTAATATATATATATATATATATAATAATATATATATATATATATAAATTATATATATATAATATATATATATATATAATATAAATAAAATTTATTTTTTTCACAATTACACTGAGTTTTCAATAGAGGTTAAGGTTATTGTCAGTGGTGTCCCTAGGCAGGTGCAGGGGGTGCGTGCCGCACGGGGGTGACACCGGACCCGCTCCACAAAAAGGTTAGTTGTAAAAGCAAGCCGACGATCCCCGCAGGATGGATCGGATCTGTGGATTGAGCATAATGGTTCAGAGTCCGATCCATTATGCTCAATCCGTAGATCCGATCCATTCTGCGGGGATAGTTAGAGGGGGCGTTACAGCATCGGGTGACACCAACCCTAGGGACGCCCCTGTTATTGTTCTCCATAGAAGCGTGCAAGACTATATATTTATAGCCAGCTTCATACTTCACAGGCTTGGTTGCATGTAGGTGAATGATTGGCTTGATTCAGCAATAAGCGCATTAATTGCCTTTTAGGTACAATACCTGAAAAAGGTAACTAGCCAAATCTACTGCTTTTGTCCTTTTTTTTTTTTCTTTTTTTTTTTTTTTTTTTAAGCGCTACAACAATGCATCCTTTTGTTTGGATCTCCTTAGGTTATCTGCTTTCCAAGGTGGAGGAGAAGGTGGGCTCCCCTGAGCGTCCCCTCTCTGACCTGGGCCTTATAAGCTACCGCAGTTACTGGAAGGAGGTCCTGCTACGCTATCTGCACACCTTCCAGGGCAAAAGAGATTTCCATTAAAGGTAGGAATTGCTTGGGTGATACTGCATGACGTGGGCTGTTATTGCTAATAAAGCTAAATGATTTGAACTTTCTGCAACTGTATAAATGTCATATTGTGAGGAACCCTTGTAATTTTACTGTCAGTTTTGTTCATTTCCTTTTGTGGATATCTATTGTGTGGAATAAGGATGTTGAATCATGAGGGATAAGCATGCCCATCAATGTATCTTCAGAGGCTGCTTGTTATCTTTAACAACTTTTCGTTTTCTGGCCTCATACTAGAATTTTTTGGTTGTGTTTTTTTGTTTTTTGGTTTTTTTTTTGCCACCAATTCCCAGTTTTGTATGCACTTTTCAAACCTGCAGCTTTCATTAAAATGCCTGGTAATCTTACTATAAAAGTCCATGTATTTAGTTAGGTCCATATATAATTTGGATACTGGCACAGTGTTTGATTTTTCAGGTATTTTCCAAAACATATTCCAGCTCCAGTTATATAATGGACATGGGCTGAAAGTGCACACTCAGGTTTAATTTGAGGGTATGGTTTAGGAATTACAGATCTTATATGGGGGGGGGGGGGGGGGGAGAAACTATAGTAGTTTATTATTATTATACAGTATTTATAAAGCGCCAATAGTTCACTCAGCGCTGTACATTACAAAGGGGGACAGAACATGTGACAGAACACTACCAATACAATGCAAAACATGAGGGGATTGAGGGCCCTGCTCTTTCGAGCTTACAATCTAGGAGGGAGGGATCAAAGAGCATCATTCAATCTGACTAAGGAGGTTCTAAAAAATCTACTCCAGTCTGGGCAGCAGAATGACAATCTGGAAGAAATCGCTAAAGTCTGGAGTGTAAAGGATAAGTTCACCGTTTTGAACATGTTATGGCCACATTTAGAATGTGACCTGTTCAGCCAGACCCCCCCCCCCCCCCCCCCCCAAATCTTGTGGCAGCGAGCTAGGGATCTTCTCCCCGTACTCTCCACGATTCAAGCAGAGCATGTCCATGCGAGGCTTCTCCCACACTGCCACATCATTGATTCATAGATCCCTGTGGATCAATAAACAAGTACCGAGAGCCTCATTGAACTACCACGGCACTGTTGAGCACTGTGGTACTTCATTGATTCTTCCTGTCAGTGTAAAACTGCCTGTTTTGTACGAGCTGCCAGCTTACAGTGACAGTTTGCAGGAGACCAGCTGATCGCTGGTGCAATGTTTTCCAAAGCCAAAACCAAAAATAGTAAATGCACTTTTTTTTTTTCTTTTTTTTTTTTTTTGTTTTTAAATCTGCCAAAAAAAATGTGCATTTATTATTTTTTGTTAAAAGTTGAACTTCTCTTTTAAATTGGCTACCTCGTTGATCAGATTATGAACAGGCTGTTTGCATTTCTTTTTTATATGTCCGAGGAAAGCGGAGCCTTTGTGTTGGTTAGCCTTGATGTTATGCATAAATTGTATCCAGTTTGTGTTTTTTAATTTTTCTTTTTTTCTTTTTAGGAAAAAAAAGTTTTACTGTGCTGACATCCCTGTTGTCTGTTGCAGAAATTAGCCAGGAAACGGCAGTGAATCCTGTGGACATTGTAAGCACTTTGCAGGCCTTACAGATGCTCAAATATTGGAAGGGAAAAAAACACCTTGTACTAAAGAGACAGGTGAGGACCGTTGTGCAGATGTTCAATCCTTATCGTCGTCACCATTTATTTAGCACAACCTTGCTGAAAATATATATATATTTTTTTTTATTCTGGAGACACCCTTGAAGTGGTTTTCAGGTCTCAATGAAAGCAGTGGAATGCATTGCTTATTTGATATCCAATGCAGATCATTTTTTTAAATATTTAGTGGCATGCCTAGCTTAAATACCCATTACAGGTCATTTTTTCATCACCACACTGACAAAATTATTGCAGGTAATAAATATGAAATGAAGCCATTAGTATGGCCACAAAAGGAACACATGAAACCGTAAGACCTGCTTTAAATGATGGTAGTGGGAAGACTGGGCCCCCTCAGATTGAAGGAGGGCAGATGAGAAAGGGCTTCCCTCTGATCATGGGTGGGTGACCACATATCTAGGAACCATGTGGTGGGAGACTTTCCAACTGAACAGACTACAATCTCATGCTGAACCACATTGGGACCTCTTGTGGAGTCCCATGTGGCTGCTCTAGAATTTCTCTGAAGCTTTGCATTTAAAGATCCTCAATGGCTACTCATACATTACCTGTACACATTCATCCAATGAATAAACAAACTTTTTCCAGTCAATACAACATCGGTATTGTCCATCTCTGACCCCCGGTTCATATATATGCGGGCCCGCGTTTTGCACGAGAGCCCATTCATTTGCTGGTTCGTATCCCAACCGTGGCACCACCTGCCTGAAGTTTGCATGTTCTCCCTGTGCCTGCGTGGGTTTCCTCCCACACGCCAAAGACATGCTGGTAGGTGAATTGGCTCCTGTCTAAATTGTCCCTAGTATGTGTATGTATGAATATGAGTTAAGGACCTTAGATTGTACGCCCCTTGAGGGTTAGGGACTGATGTGAATGTACAATATATATGTAAAGCGCTGCATAAATTGACGGCGCTATATAAGTACCTGTAATAATTTGAATGGACGCCCGTGACACGCAGGGAAGAAGTTCCTGCACTTCTTTTGAAAACTCAGCCTGCACGGGATCCTCGGTTCCCAGTACAGTTGCTGGCGGCGTGCCATTAGAACTAATGGCACCCGCTCGCGGGTCCGCATTTCTCTGTGCGGGTGGTGCGGTTGCATTGGTTTTCGTGCAGATCCGCAGCGGCACCACCTGCACAGATGTGAAGGTCTTTTGCACCCATGCATGGATTAGATGGTGATTAGCGTTCAATCGCTGTAGTTTTTGTTACCATTTGTTATTCGTTTTTACTTTCATGTCTTAGTCTTCATTGGATTGTTTCTCAAACAGAGGTATTAGATTTTTTTTTATGCAAAATATATTATACAAGGCGTTCTACCATTTGTTTTCTGTTCCTTGCAGGATCTCATTGATGAATGGGCAGCAAAAGAAGCAAAAAGAAGTAACAGCAATAAGATAATGGATCCTAGCTGCCTAAAATGGACACCACCTAAAGGAACATGAACAGCATGATCTGTCCCACCCAAAAACTCAGCAGTCTCCTGTCACGTCTGTGTATTTCCGGCATGGACCAACACCTCTAACTACAGAAGCTTTATTTCCTCTTGGATGGCCTGTGATCCCCCATTTCTTCAGTTATAGCCACATCTTCATAAAAGTTCCCTCCTGCAATGTGACATAAACATTGACAGAAATACAAGCCCCATTCTCTGCCAAAAGCAGCATGGTGTGCTGGGTCTGTAGCTCTCCAACATTTAGAGTTCAGCTTTTAGTTTTATTTTTCTTATTTAAAGTGCTTTTTTTTTTTTTTTTTTTTTTTTTTTTTTTTCACGAGTTGATCCCAATTTCAGTATCCTTGGGTGTGTAATAATCTTTTATCCATTAGTGAGTTTTCTAGAGTTTGAGGACATGTCAGTTTCCTAAATGTCTTGGCCATCAGTTGGTTTGATGCGAGACGTGAAATTATTTAGTATGGTTTCTGTCTACAGGGCTTCGACTTGCTTTATAAACTGCTGCCATGTCCTACGGTGTCCATTTTAGGACATACTTTCTTACATGTGTAGTCTTCCTTCTAATTTACCTCATCCTTTCTAGCAGAGCCACCACCTCCCTGCTACAAATGTTAAGAACCAGGTACCAGAATTTCTGTATTGTTACTTTTAGCCAGTGGTGTCCTAATTGGCATTGTAGGCAATGACTTGGCTGCCTGTAAACTTGGGTTAAGTGCCGCCATTTTGACTTTCTGATTGGGAATTCTGGAGGGGAAGTCTAGAGATCTCATACATGTTAGTATTGCTGGAGTTTGTATTGAGAACTGTGATCCCCAGCAACTGGGAAGGGGGGTGAAAGGTCACCTTTACCATCTGAACTCTTTGAAACTGCTCAGATACAAATGTCCAGTTTGAGAGTGCAAGCAAGCAGCAGTTCAGAGGAAAGCTGTCATGGTATGTTAACCACTTCACGCTGGCGCCTCCCGGCCCTTTAAGGGTTCCAGAAGCTGGGAGGCGGGGATTAAGGTCATGTGACATACCGTCCCGATCGAAAGAGGAGATCGGGACCTTTCCGTGGGTACCGGACATGTGAGCTGGGAGCGTGCAGGGGGCGCGTGCTCTTGGCACATATGTCCTTTTTTAATAGAACGCAAATGTGCGGCTGCTCGGCGTCTAGGCCCAGACGCCGGGAGGCCGCACATTTTTGTGTGTGGCCGGCCTGAAGAGGTTAAGCTACACTTGTAGATTTTTGACTATTTCCAAGGAGTACAGGTACACCTTCAGTCCATGCTCCGTTTTTCAGGCAGGGGAGGTATGGCGAGGATGGCTTTGCTAGGAGTCACGTCAGAGTTAGACTGATACTAGAGTGGGATTGTCTAACGCTGAGACCACAGCTCTCAGATGAGGGGTAGCCTAAAAGGCCAAAAAAGAGTGTAAAAGAAAAATGTCAAAATTTGCTTAAAACCAGCCATACATGGGTTGATTTCTGAATGATTATTCATTCGAAATTTGGACCTAAGAATAATCGGCTGATTTTTCGCTCTTAGTGGAGCAATGGCACCGGCTGATTTTCGTGTTTCCTCCCCATTTCATTTATCGTGCATGCTGGAAAGTTTGTGAAAAACAACAGATTTTCTAAATCATTGGCAGCACCATTGGGTTACAGATGGTACGATGTCTTTGATCGAAAAATCGTTCGGATTTTGACCCATGTATGGCCTGCTTAATTGATGAACAATGTATTCCAAAAGTGATCTATCCTCTTGAGGGTAATTTAAATGGAACTAAGCATTACCACTGCTGCTATTATGGCACTAGTTGAGTCCACTGTCTTGTCTGGTGATCTTGCGATGGAAAACAAATCTTTTTGCATTAGAGGCCTCTTCTACCTGCCAGCACAATCATATTTATTTTGCGGTTCGACCATTCTGCTCTCCCTGTATCAGGTGCCGGGCGGACTGACCATTTGGAAACTTGGGCACTACCCCACTGATTACAAAAAATACTGGAGGACAGGAAGATGTGCAGTGCATGCTCCCCCCCCCCCCCCCCCCCCCAATTGTTTTTTAGGACTGTATAGGTATAATGGGTTTTTCAACATCAATTTGTAACCCTCCTCATAAAGGCATTCATTCCTTTTTGTCTGAAGTCCCCTGGTTTCCCACCTGACCCATGCAGGCATTAGGTGATCTTGGCCATCCTGCGATACGGGCTTTCGATCCAGTCATGATTGTATAACATTGGTTTCTGGGCATGTCTGCTGCATGTATGGGCCTTGTTGGGTCCAAATACAAAATACAGAGGAACATTCCCTGCAATAGAAGAGGTATTGGACTTCTGTGTTGGAATCACATATCTCTTTCCTTTCCCTTTGTTTCGCCGGACTCTTCTTTTAGCATTGAACACTTTCGTTTTAGGATCTCTGGCCCCCTAACCCCCCAACCCAGCAGCGCTGGAACAGCGGGTAAATAGGGAATGCGCTACTGGAGAGCGAAACTCTATCGCAGGAAACTCGTTTGAAATTTTTTTTGGGGGGGGGGGGGGGGGACTGATGGGGGCCTGTAGTAGGAAAGCATGGAGAATGTCATTGCTGACCACTTCTGAAAATTAAAAAATCCCTGGTTGTCATCCTGATCCAGTGACTTCAGGTGTTTATTCATTAACTAAACAGGTATGCAGAGTAGAAGTTTACTTTACTGCATGCTCTCTCCAGTTCCTTGACTTGACGTATTGAAGCCGGAGGCAGAATTTTCTGAGCAGGAGGTCAGCAGCAACATGCATTTGTCTTACTACAGGTTCCATTTTAAGTGACATCTGTGTCCTAACCTAGAAATTGGTATGATTTTATTATGCATGGTTGTTCAGTTCCGTTCTACCTACCCATCTGTAGTCCTGTGATAATCCTATTAACCTCTTTGCTCTGGCGCCTCCCGGCCCTTTAAGAGTTTCGGGAGGCGGGTGGGGTTTTAGGGTCATGTGACCGCCGTGATTCGCCATCACATGATCAGAAAAGGTCCCAATCAAAAGGGGAGATTGGGACTTTTCCGTGAGTCACGGACATGTGCTGGGAGCACGCAGGGCGTGCGCTCTCAGCACATATGTATTTTCTAATTACACGCAAATATGCGTCCATTCAGCGTCAAGGCACAGACGCCGAGACCGCATATTTGCGTGCATTCGGCGTCAAGGGGTTAATAATTCCACTGTTGCCTGTGCCACTATTTAGAGAACATGGGCCTGCTTTTAGTTAAACTGGTACAGTTACCACTTTTTTTTGTCTTTGACCTTTTTCCTTTTTATTTACTACTTCTTCTGATGCGCTGCTGGTGGAGTAAAATAATTCAGATGCCTGTTGATTTTCAATTCACTAGGCCCACTAAAAGCCCATTAAACAGGCTACTCTTTCTATTACCGCCTTGAGAAGGGCATTATTGAAAGCTTCATGACAGCAGCTGCCGCTTCCACACGTTGAATAGACTCATCAGTATGCGACCTTTTCAAGGACACAGTGCAATCCTATGGAAACTGTAGATTTTGTAGACCGTATTCTAAACAAGCTCTCAGCATATTTTACCATCGCTCGTGTCAAGTCTAGGTTAGTCTTGCTTAATAAGACCCAGTAAACCCGTTGTGTATGGCTTGCAGTTCTCGTGTCTATACATAGATCTCTCTCTGTGTGAGCTACAGTGCCCAGATGTAAATCGCACCTTAATCTGCATACAGGACAGGTTCTATATCTTGTACATAACACCGTCTGATTTCCATATGGTTAGCTGTGTGTGTCCCTAGACCTCCCCGAGTCCCTGTTATTTACAGTAATCCATGCATTGCAGTGGAAAAACAATAAAGTTGTTAGCATTGATAGCAACCAGTGCATTAAAAATACATGAGCTTCAAGCCGAGTAAATGTCGAGGCAATTTAATCTCCTGCCTCCCCAGTGTACCGGCACAATGTTTTGTTAACAAGATTATGGTTTTTAATTAGTTTCCTTTTTAGTCAACTGTTACTGATCCATCCCATTTTTAATCTTGTTTTTATTTTACTTTTTTATCCTTTTTTAATCTACACCACTTCCCATTTGTGTTTTTGCTGCTCTTGGTTATAGTTTTAGAAAGCATCTTCTGATGAACATGAGCAGTCTTGTTCATTAAAGCGATCCTGCGCTTTGTCCTGGAATAGGAATGTAACCGATTTTGCTTTAATGCCCCCCCTTCTCCAGTAGAACATACCTTGTTTAATATACTACCCTACTGCTCCATTCAGCCATTGGGAGTGGAAATACTTCATGTATGTAGGGATGTGTGTAGAACACTCCTCACTCTATCATGTACAGCACTGGTGCTTAGTGATTTAGCCCTGTGTAAGCTCTAAAACCTGATTACTACACAGTACACTGTCAGCCATTGGTGAGGAGGATGGAATCCCTGTGTAAGTTCTAAATAGAGCTTACACAGGGATTCCATCCTCCTCACCAGTGGCTGACGGTGCACTGTGTAGTAATCTGCTTTCTCAAAAGTCAGTGCACTGTGTAGTAATCAGATTTTATGGTTTACTAGTCTGACTTTTGAGAAAGCAGATTACTACACAGTGCACCATCACCTCCTGGTGAGGAGGATGGAATCCCTGTGTAAGTTCTAAATAGAGCTTACACAGGGATTCCATCCTCCTCACCAATGGCTGACGGTGCACTGTGTCGTATTCATATTTTTATGGCTTACTAGTCTGACTTTTGTAAAAGCAAAATGTGATTTTGGCTGTTATACGTTGCTGACCATCACACAATATATTTTGCATTGGGTGGTACCTTCACTTAAAGCCCACCACGGAGTGGAAAAAAATCTAAAATTCTCCCTTGCGGTGTTGCTGCCCTTGCACTTACAGGGATTAAATGCTGGTTTATCTCTGGGGTACTGGAAAAAGCACTTTTACCTACCTGATCACCGCTCTTCTCTTGTGGACTGTCCATCGGTGTCCTTGTGTACAATGCAGGACTATGGTTTGTATTTGATGGA